TGAAGTCCTATTTTGGAGTTTTAACTATGTTTTTGTCCCATATAATATAATTTCTTTTTTTAAAATTGATGAGTTTGGAAGTTGAATTTCAATTGCACAACAGGTATAGCGCATGCAAGTCTTTAATGTGCAACCGGTTAGTTTTAGCGCATGCAATTCAATTTTTAGCGCATGAGGTTTTAACGTCAAGTACATTATTTATGAGTATGCCTGGAAGATTGGGGGAGAATTCTAAAAGTTGGAAATAATCTTCAAATAATCCAGCTTTAGAATTTCTTAACAGATTTTTTGATCGAATAATCTCTTCAAATAATCCTAACATCTCAACCATAATCCTAAAAAATATCATCCACATCATCAAAATAATCACTAAATAATCCTATGGATGAGGATGCCCTTAAGAGAGGTGTATTGTACTTCAAAAAGTATCCTCATTCAGTCATTCTTTAAAAGTTGCAAAAACTTTAATTTTCATGTTTGTTGTTGGGATATTGATCCAGAGGCCCAATACCCGGATCAAGAAGGCTCAAGATATCCGGCCCAAACGACGAGCCCATCACTCTATGATGAGTAGATCCAGTGAAGAATACATGTCGAACGAGATTCGGCCAAGTAAGGGTTGGCCCAGTAAGAAGATATACCGAACGGAGTTCGGACTATATATCATACTTGGGCCAATTTGACAGCGTCTTCAGCATGGCCCAACATCCCGTTCGAGCAACGGACAACCGACAAGTGGCCAGGTGCAATTAATGCCAGATTGTGACATCAGCAAGTGGAAACATGGGTGACCAAGTCGGTGGAACAACAGCCAATCAGCGTAGAGCAGCCCATGCTCTCCATTAGTATAAATAGAAGGTTTAAAATCATTGTAAGGGTTAGCATTTCAATACTCAGGCTCTAGAATAGCATTATTGCCCTTATTTCTTGTATTAAAGCATTATTTCCGACCTACCGATCGGGAATTTCCTTGTAATCAGACTGGCGGGTTAATTAATACAAGTGAGCTTTTGAGTATTAGTGAGTTCATATTTTATATTTGGTTATACACTTTGATTCTGTATCATTCCTGATATATCCAAAGTTCGTGTTGGGCTTTCGGATCTACGGGATTTACCTTCAACATTTGTCAACGTACAATTTTGACGGTACTTATGGATAGTAAAAGTTGATGGATGGTGAAAGTTTTAAACTTATATTCATATTTAAACTTTTAAAAGTTTAAATATGGAGGTGTATTGTACTATTGCTTATAAACTCTTAAAAGTTTAAAAGACTCTAAGTGTATTTAAACTTATATTCATATTTTCGGGCTTTTAAAATCACGAATTTTCGAAAACTTTTATCTCATTTTAGTATGATAACTTTTTGCAATTGTCTCTTCTCATCACAAGTACCCAAATATTCAGTTCCAGAATAAGACTAGATTTGATTAATTATTTACCGGTCATGGACTAGTACAGATCGAGTCGGAAGGTGGGTACCATGATAGTTTCACTATGCAAGGTTTGAAAATTAAACTCTAGGTTTTTGTCATTTTATGATAAATAAAATTGAACAATGAGATTCTACATCAATACTGATACACATGATAAACTTAAAAATAAATTAAAAAGTGATTATATTAAATAAAAATATATTTCTCTTTAAAAATAAATTAAAAAGATTTTATATTTTTCATTAAGAAAAATATATGGGAGAAATCAGTTCAGTTCTTGAAAGAAAATTAAGAACAATTTAAAGAATCGTTAATCTAATATCGATTCTATTCTAGAATTTTTTTGAATAACCAATATAAGAATCGATAGTTTTGTATTGGTACAATTATGGTATATTGTCGAACATCTGTTAACAGTTAAGAAATAAAAACATCAACCATTGCTGATTTAATCATTAAACTACTTATGCATAAAAATATAAGAAAATGGCACTAAGATTAGTACTAGTCTTTTCATTTCCAACAATATGACTAATAATTTAGTTTCCACAAAAGTGACTACTTAATTAGTTTCCATATGGTCAAATACTTACTTTCCAGGTGGCTTCCATTTTTATATTCTTATGTTATTTTTATCTTCTAGCTTCTTTATGGCAAATTATATGGTGCAACCGGCGCACCATGAGGATGGTGCGCCCGGTTGCAAAAACGACGCAGTGTTTTTCTCTTTTTTTTTTGCTTTTGATGTTAAAAATGATAATAACTTTTTTATTTTTGATCCGATTTTTATAAAATTTATATCAACATTTTTTATTTTTCATGATCTTTCAAATGAGACCAATATTGTGTATGTAATTTTAAGAAATTATCGAACTATTATATTAATGAGTATTGGATTATAAGAAAAATCGAATCTGTTTGGGAGATGATAGGTTTGTGAAATAGAAGATCGAATTTGTTTGGGAGTGGATCAGTGGCATCAGTTACATTTGATAATACATTGAGTTACATCTTTTTATGAGTGAGTTACATCTTTTTATAAGCAAGTTACATCTTTTTATAAGCAAGTTACATCTTTTTATAAGCAAGTTACATCTTTTAATAAGCGAGTTACATATATATATACACACGAGTTGCATTTGACATGTCTGAACGCGACTTACATATATTTACACGTAAAGTTACATATTTATACACACGAGTTGCATTTGGCCTGACTGAACATGAATTACATATTTTAACACGTAAACTTACATATTTTTACACACAAATATTAATATGTTAAAATTACATAGGTAATATTGGTCTCATTTGAAAGATCATGAAAAATAAAAAATGTTGATATAAATTTTATAAAAATCGGATCAAAAATAAAAAAGTTATTACCATTTTAAAAAAAAGACAAATAAAAAATAATGAGGCCAACTGCTAGAACTACGTCGTATTGGTGGCGAGTGTACTATGTTGACAGTGGGCTGGTCGTATGGTATACGAACTCCTTCTTTATGCTCTTTATTTTTTTATCTTTTACCTTTCTTATTATATTCTCAGGTTATTGTTATCTTATATTCATTTATCTTTATTTTATCCGTTTTATCTCCCACCCCCGTCTGTCTCTTTGTTTGGCATTGATATCATAGATCGATTCATGTTAACCGACTCAAATTCTTTTGGGATTAAGGTTTGGATGTTGTTGTTGTATTATTGAAAAAATAAAATATTTCAGTTTTTCAAATTTTAAATGAGAGAAATTTAACAATGTTTTTCAAAAACTTAATTCCTAATAAAAAAAATGCAGTCAATACTCAACACACATGTGAATAGTGTAAACTTAAACATGTTACTTAAACAAAGGTAGTTTAAGTATCAGTTATATTGTAAAACATTTTTTGTAAAATAACATTTAAATTGTAACTACCTCCGTCTCGAAAAGGTTTGCCAAATTGACCTTTCTTGGTCAATGATGACAAACTTTGAGCAATGATTTTAGTTATTATATTTGTATATAATTTATAAATTTTATACTTTTATGAAAATATTTTCAATAAGGAGTATTTTGATATAATTTTCATATTCTAAATAAGTTCGTATTAAAATATATCATTGGTCAAAGTTGATTGTCATTGACCAAGAAAAGTCAATTTGGCAAACCATTTTGGACGGAGGGAGTATCATTTATACACCAGATATAAATTGTTTATATTAAAATCTCTTACATTTCATAGTTATTTACATCCTTTATAAAGGTTTTTTTTAACTTGGTAGGCAAACCACTAAAATCAGTTGGGCAAATGTCGAGGAACATTTGTCGGGTATTATACGAACTCCAGAAAGATCACAACAAGCTGAGAGGGGGACCAAATCAAAACCTCTCCAAAGGGCATTCCCTTTCCACCACAAGCAAAACAAAACAAACCATTTGCAAACACAAACAGCAAACTGGGGATCTAAAAATATACATAAAGAGTAGAAACATCGAGTTGTATGGCTCCATTAAGCCCATTTGGCATCCGATCACCCGGTCTCCATGAGAAGCTCTCAACCGAGCCCAGTTTTGCCACCCACCAAGCAGCTTTGTTAGTTTGGACCGGAATCACCCCCCACTTTGGATCCAACCCAACATCATTTGCATAAGAAACACAACGTTCCAGATCATTCGAACCGACAACATCAATCTCCCAGTTAGTCATCTGAAAACCCTTAATCCACTCCATAGCCTTTACGAACATTTCACCTTCCAAAAACGTAGAGCCGCTAAGAGGAAAGCCCAGTGCCGCTACCGGAGAACCATCATGATCCCGTATCAGAAAACCGGCCGACGATTTGCCGTTTTGACGATACACTTCCCAGTTCAATTTCATGAAATCCCTCCTCGGCTTCATCCATCTGCAGATCTTAGGTCTCGACTTCCCACAGTTCTGAGGTAATAAACCTTTATCCTTCAATAGATGTCCTCCATTTAGAGTCTTGTGTGCAAAGCTCTAAGAAATCATATACTTACCGATATTATGTATAAGCTTTTCTTTCGTAGGAGCTTCATCTTCCCAAATCGCCTTCCAGTAAGATTTCCACAAATGCCATGCAATTACCCCCGGTAAAGTTTGCTTAAAAGCCTCGTCCAAGCTTTTTCCTTTCGCAGAGATCCACCATTTCATCATCTCAAGTTTTATTTGATTTACATCCCTTCCTCCCTGCAGAAGTATTCCTTCATAAAATTTCCATACGGATCTGGCCAGCGTACAAGAGAGCAATACATGATCAGTGTCCGCACCTGCACATCTACATAACGGACATCTGGATGGGTAAGCAAATGAGAAGGTCGCATAATTTTCCGGGAAAGGCAAACAATTGTGCCAAAGTCTCCACAAAAATATTCTAATTTTGGGCACTTGCTTGGCATGCCAAATATGCGTTGTAGATAAAATTCTCCCCTCCTGAGGCCAAAGAGCCAGATAGGAAAATTTAGTTGTAAAATCCCCATCTGATGTATGTTTCCAAACTAGTCCAGCAAGCCCCCTGTCCACCATTTGTTCAGCCTCATCATGTATAAGATAGATTCTCCTCCAGGTAGGAGAATCTGTGGGTTTGGAAACCCCCAAGCACCTTCTACCATATTTTGCTTTCATAAGCTGAGACCAAATTGAGTCCTCCTTCTGAAACTGTCACCATAGCTTAATTGAGGATATCTTCTGGATATCTGAAATAGACCTGATACCTAACTCCCCCTGCCTCCGCAGGCTTACACATTCTCTTCATGTTATCCCAATGATGCTTTGGCCTATTACCCATAAATCCCTAAAAGAAATCAACAATTTCCTATTAATCATGTTAATTACTGCCCTAGGAATGTTTGTGATAGTAAGAATATGAATAGGAATGGATTTTAAGACATGTTTGATAAGAATAAGCCGCCGCCCTTGTGATAATGTTTTATGTCTCCAACAAGACAATTTTTATCAAACATGTCCAATAACTCTTTGCAATGCACCAATCGTGTGATGCCCTTATGTATCTGAACTCCCAAGTACTTAAAAGGCAGATTGGAAGCCTTCCTTCCTAGTTCATTCCCCAAGTGCTGAATTCTACCTGCAGTTGTATGCTTCCCAACAACAAAACAACTCTTATCCTTATTAATCAATTGGTCAGTCGCTTTTTGATAAGTTTTTACAAACTTGTTAAATCTTTTGATATATTTAGATGATTCATTAAGAAAAACCATTAAATCATCCGCAAAAGCTAGGTAAGATATATGGCCAGACCGACCTATGTTGAAAGGCTCAATTTCTCCTGTTTGAAATAATTTATTAATACCTCTAGAAAAAAGCTTCGAACATAAGGATAAATAGCAAAGGAGAGAGTAGATCTCCCTGCTTGACTCCTCGATAAGGCTGGAAAAAATCATAGGGCACCACATTTATAATGATAGAGATAAATGTAGCCTTTAAGTTACCCATAATTAAGAGCCGCACATGATTAGAGAAACCAAACTTCATCAAAATAGCATCCAAAACCTCCAAGCAACCCGATCAAAAGCCTAGAAAGACATATAGGTCGGAAATCCCCAAAAGAAGTAGGGTTTTTCTTTTTAGGGATAAGAACCATATTCACACTAGCAACGCCCTTCGGCACCGGAAATCCCATGAAAAATTCGTGTACTGCCAAAATAACATCCTGCTTTATAATGTCCCAACACCCCTTATTAAAGGCTCCACCAAAACCATCCAGACCAGGAGCTGCTTAAGAACTTAGATTCCATATAGCCTCTCTAACCTCCTTTTCACCTGGCAATGCAATAAGAGAATCATTATCAGCCTCTTCTAAAAGAGAAGGGATATTACATAACAATTTTCCATGAGAACTTGTTTGCTGAAAGTCGTGGAGGTCTTGAAAGAAACAAACAACCTCCTTCCCTATCTCTTTAGTATCATACACCCACTCCCCATTAGGCCTTTTTATAGCCTGAATATGTTGTCTTTGAACTTTCTCTTTAACATCCTGGTGAAAGAACTTCGAATTTGCATCTCCTTCCTTGATCCAATTTACTCTTGACTGCTGCTGCCAATAGCTTTGCACCGATAGCTTCAAATTCCTTGATCGAATTTGCACCGATAGCTTCCTTTTCCAGTCTATCAAACTCCCGAAATATGTCCCCAAAACATTCCATGTTACACCTTTTAACATCCTCTTTAAACGCCTGGAGCTTCGCAGTCAGTCCTCTCATACCTCCCACCGTCGGGTAATCTTTCCATTTAGCTTTTACAAAAGGAAGAAAATCCTCACTAGTAAACCACATATTTTGAAATCTAAACTGACTCGGACCCCTCTCCATCTCCTCCTCAGAGTAACAATATAGGGCAGTGATCCGAAGGAGATTTGCTTAGGTGTTGAATGGTAACTATGTGAAAATTTGCAAGAAATCTTGAGTAGCCAAGTACCTGTCTAGCCTTTCCCAAATTCTAACATTGGCCCTAACCCCGGTCCATGTGTAGGAAGAACCAATAGTGGGAAGTTGGTGAAGCTCACAAACCGATATACAATCTCTAAAATCCTGCATGTATCCTATAAGTGGGCTGGAAGGTCCTTTGTACTTTGATAGTGAGGATACAATGTTGAAATCCCCCCCCCCCCCCCCCCCCATGATCCAGGCCTTATCCACCACCCTAGCAAAATTAGTCAAACCAGACCAAAGCTCCTCTCTATCCCTTCTTGTGTGTAATCCATAAACCGGAGTAAAAATAAAATTTAAATCCCTGGGGATATACTTTACATTAGCCAATAAAAACTGATTGCCATCCCGGATGTTATTCACCTCAAATTAAGTATTATTCCACATAATCCAAATCTTATTAGATTGAGACATGTAAATGTTCGTAAACCCCAAACTATGAAGGAAAAAAAACCTTTATTTTGAGCCACAATTGGTTCAATAATAGCAACAAGACCAATTGAGTAGTGCCTAACAATTTCACGCAGCCTTGGGCATGAAGAGGCAAGGACACGCAAGTTCCATATGAGCAGCTTCATAAGGAAACATCCAAGGTGAGACCCTTGTTGTTCCTCTTGGCCGCTAACCGTGTAGTGACCGATCGTGGAGGATGAACATCTTTGACCTTTCTTCTCGAGACCACCCCTAAGGCCTCAGCCTTACCATTTAGTATTTGTTCCACCTTATTGTGCAACTCCCCACACACCTGCCTCCAAGACTCTCTAGCAAGATTCTCTACAGTTATATGCTCCCCTTCCGAGATATATCCCGATTGCTCAATGAGTATAACCTGACCCTCCTGATCAATTACTGATCCCTCTTCCATGGAAATTAAATTTGAACTGACCGGAAGGACATCTAACCCCTCCATCTCAGAATTAATCAAAGCATCCTCATTTGGCTTATCACTGACCAACTCCTGTACTAAATGGTCCTCCCCCCCAACTTACATTGTCACATCTGTCTCCACTTGTTCTGCTACCAGTCGTTCAACCACCTCAGGAACCTGTTGTTCTGCAACCCCAATTATTTGATGTCCAAGTGGAGCCTTCGCCCCATTTTCCTTAGAGCTCTCCCCCTCAACTGCCCCAATTGTCTCCAGCCCAAATTTAGCCTTAGATGATTCAGGCTTATCATTTATATCCCCATCAATAAATTTACCCTTCCCTTTTCTCTTTCGATCGATTTGAACCCGCTCCTCCACTGCCTTTTTCATCTCTTTGGGCTGGTTCAGCGATACTTCCTTCATTTTATTTTCTTTAGCCCCTTCCACTCTTGGTTTAGTCGTACCACACTGTCCTTTGTAATGCCCCAAGTAGGGGTGGGCGTGGTCCGGAACGGTCCGGTAAATTGGTAAAACCCGTAATGTATCCGTGAGATTTTTAACGGTCCGGTACGGTCCGGTTCCAAGAATAGAATTGTTCGATACCATGTCGTTTCGGAACGGTACGAAATGGTATGGTACAATGCGAAACACATGCTAAAAATTTAAACAAATCTTGCAATTAGTGGATATCATCACACTAATCAACTCACATGAAATCTTGATATAAATACAAGAAATTGCATACGTAGTACTAAAACTCACAAATACACGAATAGTGCAACACAACTAAGAAAAAGTATAGCAAAACGATGACGCACAAAATAAATATCGTCTTTAATTTACTAAGTTCATGTGAAAATATAAAAGCGAATATCATCAAATTGTTGAATATAATAGAAATCTTCAACGTTCTTCTTCTTCTTTCTAGGTTAAATATTACCCCGTAGTTCTAATTTAATTTATAGTTGAACCTTGAGAGCTAAGATTTAAACCATATTAATTAAGTTGTAAAAATTTCACAAACATGATACAAGAAAAAGTCATGTACACTACATTACTAGAAATGAATAGTCATTAATAATTTTTAAAATTTTAATATTCTTTCAATACATGCCAAAATGTAACATAAATTATCTAAAAAAAATAACAATATATATATATGTATAAACACATTTAGATATCTTAGGGACACACGAATACATACTTGGGCTATAAAATTGTTGGTCTATAAAATTGTTGGTCTATAAAATTGTTGGTCTATAAATTGGTATAGAAAACATATAAAAAATTCAAATGCATTATTTTCGAACGGTTCGGTCCAGTTTTTTTCGGTTCTCAAAATCTAAGACCGGTCCCGTACTCGTTTCAAACGGTACGGTTTCAGTACGGGATAAAAATCTATAGAACCGTTTAAATACACGGTATTCGGTTCGGTGCCATTACGGGACGGTTCGGCACCGGTTCGGTTCGGGTTTTATGCCCACCCCTAGCCCCAAGCGGCTACACTTGGTACAGTAGGAAGGAAATCTTCATAAGTTACATGTTGAACCGATTCTTTGGAGCCATTCAATATAGAACCTTAGAAGGAATCTCTTGAAGAAGGTCCAATTCCTCACAAACTTTAGCCGTAGATGGCCTAGTAAAATTTGCACTGGCCGCATCCACTTTAAGTGGCTTCCCTATCATACTCACTATAGAAAATAGCGCTCTTTTATCATGTAAATGTATTGGCAGTCCATCAAAAGTGATCCACACCGGGACTATGGGCGATTCCACGTCCGAATGGAAATCCAGTGTCCATCTCGTCACTTTCATCTGAAATCCTCTCAAGGTCCACGATTGTCTGAGCCAGCATCTCTGGAAATCATCTTCTATTGCAAATTTGATCAACACATGACATTGATCAAGCAGCCCTATAGTGAATGCTCCCTTGAAGCCTATCTTCTCAAATTGCATGCGGATTGTCGTCATGGGCGGACGACCCCTAACAAACGAACCAACCAAAGCGAATTTGTATTGATCTGCAAGACATGCAACTTCGTCCTCCGAGAACTGAATAGCCGGCATACCCCGATGCCGGAAGGGAACTTTCGTGGAAAACTCTTTGTTAGCCGCAAGGACCTTCGCAAATGAACGCGTAGCTGACCCTGGCCCTCCAGTCAGAGCAGCCCATGCTGCCGCCGTAGACATGCACACCTCCGCCACAGAAGCTCTCTAGGGTTTTTTCTTTCCTTTATAAAGGTATTTACATAAAGAGCCTGTTTGGTAACCTCGTTTTTCTGGTTATCAAACTTATTAGTCAACGTTTTTCCCAAACACATAACTTTCGATTCCACGCGCTAAACTGTGTAGTAATAAAAAAAGTAAGGTTGAAGTTACTTTTCTGGTTGTATTGACTAAAGTTACTGTAGGGGGTCATTTTAGCAATTTTTCATATACTTTTTACGTTATTTTATTAATAAAAAATATTTTAAATATAAATTTTTCATAAATCAACAGAATTAACCAATTCAACCACTTGATCTAGAACTTCATAAATTTCAACATAACCAGTCAATTCAACCAATTTCAGTGTTATCAAATAGACTCAAAAATAATGAGCTAAACCAAAGTATAACCTGAGGGCCTGAGGTAAGCCTAACGGCTAACACTTATACACTGGATATTCCACAAAACTTGCCTACACTAACACTGCTTCTGCTGCTCAGTGCACACTAGTACCTTGCGCATGAATTGTCGATCTCACTATATAACTGAGAATTGCCTACCCCCACACCCCAAACCCCTCCAAAACACCTAACCCAACCCACCTACCACCTAAAGACTTTGAAATAAAAAATGGTCCGTACCAGCTCGGACCGGCCAAGCCGGTTCCAAAGAACCCTGTAGCCCGAGCCCATACCCAAAAAAACTCTTGGGTCGGGTCCTAGGCCCGGGCCGAGTCCGCACAGTGGCGGGCTAGTCCGGTTCCCGGGCCGGGCAGACCGGAACCAGTCCATCCCTAATAGTGGTGGACTCGGTTCGGGCCACCCGGCCCGTGACCCGGCCCGGCCCGCTATTGTGCGGGCTCGGAACCAGCCCGGTCTGGTGGTCCGGGACCGGGTGTAGACCCGAACCGGGGGGCAGCGCGGGGCGGGATCGGTTCTGGCAAAACGTGACCCGGCCCGGCCAGGTCGGGCCCGGGTCCGGGTCACAACGGTTATATTTTAAAAAATATATATTTTTGGGCCAAAAGAGCCGTTAGGCCAACGGTTGGGACTACCCAAATGGCTATATAGCCGTTGGGTGGGCTGGCAGGGGGTCCAGGCAGTTTGGGGGTGGGGGAGGGTGGGGTGGGGTGGGGTAAAATAAACTACAAATACTCCTAATCTTAAACATTTTTCCATATCTCTTCTCCAACTCTTCCTAAATCCTACCCTCTACTCTCTCATCATCTTCATCTTCATCTTCTCAAATTCTCTTTTTCTGCAATATATTATATATCTACTTATATTTATCTACTTATAAATACATATATTATATTACTTATATTTCTTATCTACTTATATTATAGTATATTTTATATAATACTTTGATTGTTAGTACATAAAATAACTAGTACTACGTACAAAAAACTAGTTAATTCATTACTCAATTAAACTTAGAATTTTATTTCATTAAAGTTAGAATTGTTAGAATTTATTTCATTAATTCGAATTGTTTTTATAAAGTAATATTTGTTACATTTTTAAGATGGAAGGTGGTAGATATTCGGTTGATATGGGTAACCTCGACCGCAACCGAACGAACGAGCTTGCGAGGAAGAGATCCCGCAAACTCCGCAAAGGTAAATCACATATCAACTCTTCATCTCAAAGCTGAGATGATTTTGATACAGGTTACGCAAGAAGGGATGGGGATGCGATGACCGACGAACAACTAGAACAAGAATTTCACCGGCATAATACTATAATAGTCAGTTTTTCCAAAGCCGAGGACCATTGACGAAGAAGAGCTCAAGGACGACGATGTGGAGGAAGTAATTCCGGAGAGCCACAACGCTGACGCGGAGGAGGGTGGTGGCAGCCACGGCGCCATCGAGCCTGCCTCATCCCAAACCGGTACGAAAAAAAGTAAATCTGAACTAATGCTTAATAATTTTGATAAGTGGAAGGACCCGAACACCAGAAATTGGAACGCAACTTGCAAGTGGTGCAAGAAAAATTATAGCTTGGGGATTTCTGGCGGATACGGATCCGCTGCAAGGCATCTTAAGGCCAAACACACGGTGGAGTATGAAAAATTAGGCGGTGGAACGGGGAAGCTACGGTGGAGTATTTCTAATTTTCTATAAATACTCCTATTTTCTAACATTTTTATACACATCTTCTCCAATATCCAATCTCCATTCTCCATCCTCCATCTTATCTCCATCTATTCTAAACTTTCTAGTATTTATAGAATTATTATATCTACCATTTTTAAGATGGAAAGTCAATATACCGTTATCGCGTATAATTTTTATACGCAGTCACGCAGAAAGACCCGAGGACCAGGATGTGGTATGCAACTTGCAAATGGTGCAGGAAAAAGTGTAGTTTGGGGGTTTCACGCGGATACGAGATGGCCAAGAAGCATATTAAGTCATGTGACAAAACCAAAGGACCGAGAAATTCCGATTGATTACAAAATGTATTTCATATTGTATTTTTTTCTCAATTGTCAAATGTAGTTCCTATTTCATTTCAAATAAATGCACTTGAATTTTGTTTTTAATACTTATATAAAACTATAACGTATAAATAAGTAAAAAAATAATTGGATTTACCCGGCCCGAACCGGAACCGTCCTTACCTCAGGCTCGTCCCGGGCCCATCACTTACAAACCGGAGGCCCGACCCCGGGCCTGAACCAGCCCGAGTCCATGACTAATCCCTAATTCTAACTTCTAAGTATCTAACCAACCAAGAATTGGAGTACCAATTTAATCATAAACGTTTCCCAAAAGCTTGAATTTTAAAAATGTGGGTATTGAAGGCATCTGGTTTAGCAAAATAATTAGATCTAAAATACGTGAACTCCCCTATAATAATTCTTTAATGAAAAATCTTTTTATTTTAGCTTAGCTCAAACAGTTTGATGCTTTAATCGAACTGTTATTTCAGTTGAGCTTCAGGTTTTTACTGTTAGAGATTGACTCATTGCGATTTCCATTAAAATGAGACAAAACTGCAATAGCGGATCAGCATATGCCCAATTGCCCAAAGTGACAGAATAGAGAAAGTACTTGCTGTAAAAATGTTCTGTGGTGCTGTTCTTTAGAAATGAAAGCCGGTAAAAAATCACACGTGGGTTTCAGCAAAAGTTTGGGTAGAAGGGAGATGAGTTCTTGAAGGCAGTCACATCTTTTATGACCTGAGCAGCGGTTTCAGTAGGGTCTTTCTGATCAGTGTGGCAACCCCAAACCCGCACAGCAAGTCTCCTACATTTAGGAGATGGTTGTTGTAAATAAGTATGGTACCACTCGATTAGATCACTTTTCTGAGTGTTCTTGACCTCTTCTGCTTCCCTCTCGGACATATCAAACATATACCTGAGAATCAATGGCACTTCACAATTATCCACAACCAATGACAGTAAAAGTATTTCAAAACAAAGAAGCCTTAAACAATCTATTATTATTGTTATTGTTGTTGGTGTAATTATTACTATCATCCTCATCAATATTATTAGTACTATGAGCTGTACACCAATCACGAAATGATGGATGATATAGTTACAACTACAACATTACCCCAGTGGGGTAAAGGGGGTCGGATGTACGCAACCTTACACATGTACTAAAGCAACGCAGAGTTTCTGTTTCTGGATAACCCATAATGAAAATCTCGTCGAAATTGAATGGAAAATTTAATTAGCCATTTTGCTTAATTCCATCATATTCTGATGCCAAAAAATAGCGTCCATTGGATATGATGGATGATATAGTTAAATAATTAAATTTTATATTTAGCATCGGTAATGTTTTAAATACCTAATTTGCAACTCATCCCATACCGTCAACTTAAAAAGTAAAACTTATGGGGTTTCAAAAAATCATTTTTTTAATACATGCTTTATACTCCGTAGAAAACATATTTAAAAAGTAGCTACTACCTCCGTCCAAGTAAGCTTCTCATTGAAAAATGACATGATTGTTTAGATAACTAAATAAAGCAATTTGAATATAATTTCAGAAGTAATTTTGATGATATATAATATAATGAGGTGATAATATAATGAGAAGATGATAATTGTGATGTTATAGGTGTATTATTTTAATATTTGATAATTAATTTATCATTTAAGAGTACTAATTATTTCTTAAAATAGAAATGAAAAGCTTTAGCTAGGACATCCAAAAAAGGCAAGTGAGAAAATTAAGCTGGACAGACATAATACATATTACTTCGTATTAGCTTAAAATCTTATTGCTATTATTATAATTTTTTTTATTGCTATTATTATAAACCAGTATACAATTACAAAAAGATCACCTCTTTGAAATTAATACATAATAAATGGACACATACCAACACTAAGGGCATCTGGAAAAAAATTATCAGTCCTTTTTGCTAATAATGTTGGACGATTATTCGAAAATAAAATTTATGTCAACGACCTCAACGTAGTTGGGATTAAGCTAATGTTCATGATGATGATATACCCTAATGTAGTAATGCCACACAAGCTACATTACTAGGGCAGTTCACGTGGGATAAAATACCAAGATGCATTGAATAAAAGGCATCTATGGTGCTGAAAAATTAATGATATGTTTCACATGGTAAGACTGCGTACATCCGACCCCCCTTACCCCACCGTAGGTGGGAGCCTTTGCGGCACTGGGGTAATGATGATGATGATGATGATATGTTTCACATGGTAAATCAACTATCTTTGTGGAAAGAAAGGAAATGGAATAGTGGACTATCTTTGTTCGACGGAAAGAGTAGCAATATGGCTGCATGTGGACAATATATACCTTTTATCTACTATTTGACCCCATAGGCGATTTGTTTCATATTGAAGTGATGGATCTTTCTCAAGAAGCTTTGCCACTAATCCACTTTTATAACCTTCAAAAGATTCCTCACTGAGATCATCCTGCAATCAATAGTGTGAAATATTTACCAAGTGCAGTTAATAAAAAACCTAAGGCATAACACCCTCTCACTTATCCAGGGCATATAAACGTTTTCTAGATTTCAAATACTGCAATCAAAATTTCAGCTCATCATCTATCCAGGCATCTAGTTTGTGTGTGTATATGTGTGTAGATGAACTCATCACTTGATACATAAAACTCCCTACGTCCCCCAATAATTGTCTCATCTTTTCATTTTTAAATGTCCCCCTATTATTGTCTCATACCATAGTTGGTAACTTTTGTGTGACTCTAATTCATTCTTACTTTATTCTCACTCTATCAACTCATTATCAACCACATAATTCTACTTTTCTTAAAAACCACATCACTCCCTTCCGTCCCAATATTAGGGGGACGGAGGTACTACATGTTTGTGCTTTCCACTATATTACATAGTCAGAGAAAGTCTCTGGTTTAAGTGGGCAAGGCAAACCCTCTCAATAGTACAAATGCATGAAGATTGGAGTAACACTGGCATACAACCAAAGTAAAAGTTAGGAATAGAAATAATGACGCATACCAATATCTCCTTCACACTATTTATGAAGTGATCAATTCTTCCTTGCAAGTACACAGGATCATATTCACTAGACTGAACGTGAAAACAAAAGCCTAGTATGCGGTATGTTACCCTTGGGGAACACCCAACAACATAGCCAAGTTGCTCCTTTGTCCTGTGTTAAGGTGGGAAGAGAATCCAAAAGGCTGATTAATTGATTTTCGAAGTGGTGAAAATCATCATGACATCTAGTATATAGAGTATATTAATTTTATTATACCTTAGCTGGTTAAAGAGTGGTTCTTCCACAACTTCATCAAAAAGATCTAACAATGCTTTCAACTTGATCAAATCTGTGCCTACTTCAGGTTCAACCTGAAAATAGAGCTGAAGAGAGAAACGGTGGTAAGAGTGAACTGTTTATCGTTGCACTTTATACATAACAATTTTAAAAGAAAAAACATCTTCTTGCTTTTGTACTACCTCAACCACTGAGTTTGTTTCCAGTTTATTTTTCACTGGTACGTCTCTAACTAGGTCAGCCCCAGAAGGAAGGCATATGATGAACTCTTTATGTGTCATTTCAGCCGGAAGTGGTGCTACTGAGAAGTAATTCCTAAATATGTTGGATATATTTATTGCTTCTTCTTCAAACATATTGCCATGGCAAAGTCCCTCAATATGTAACTGCAAAATAGGTTAACAGAAAGTGGAAGTAAAAATAAATTTAGTCCATTGTGGTCAAAGTAGAAATAACAAATGTATTTTTCAGAAGCTTTAAATCAATGACCAAAAGGAAGCACAAACACCAAAACCATATTATTAGTTTTAAATATAATTGCTATTATTAAAAATCATTATAGTATTACAAAACGACCACGCTATTGAAAAAATGCATGTTAAATGGGGACACATACCAACAACCAAGGATTAGCGTGCTGAGAAGTAACTTAAAAACACATTGCACATATTTACTGCTTCTACATACAAGTTTCAACATATTGACATGGCAAAGCAGGATAACAGAAAGTGGAAGTAAAAATACAGATTTATTCCACTGGTAAAAAAGTAGAACTAAGTAGCAGCGCAGAGACGCACAATTTGCAGAAGCTTTTCAATGAGCAAAAAAGAACCATGAAAACCTGAGCAATAACTACGATCTTAAAAACTCATTGTGTTAAAAATTATCTGTATTAATCTTACGGAGTACAATATTACAATTTCAAAAAACACCCTGTTGATTTAAATATGGGTTACATGGGACTCAAACTAACATACAAGGATTTCAAAGAAACAATTATGTTATTAAAAGTTCAGCCTGTCCAACAATTCTAGTACATGTGTTGTTTGCTTCTAACAATACTAAGGACTTCAATATCCTAATATTATTAATTTATAACTATTGTAAAACATCATATGGATGTGCATAATTGGGGCAGCGATTGACAAACGAGTTCAAGAGAAATGAATGTCCATTAGAATTTTTCATTTCCATCAAATGGTAATAAATGCATGGCTGGCTGATATTAACCACATATGGAGATGCTTTCTCTATCGTTTCATCATTAACAGAAAAATAAACATCCTAGTGAATCAATAAAAAACAGAAGAAAAAATGTTCTTGAGAAGTTTTCAACGACTGGAGAGTAGTTACAAGAATTGATATAGAATGACATTTTAATGAATTATTAGCTTCGAAACCTGGGAAAGAAGATCCGGAAGAAAAGCCTTCAGATCTGCCACACATAAGTTATTTAATATGCATAGCTTCTCCTCCACATCCCAAAAAGTCTGGCACAAAATTTGGAGTCTCGAGTATGATGAGTGATTCAAAGGCTTCATGTTAGTGTTCTTCAAAGTTCTTTCCATATCTTCCTTGATAACCTATCATAAGTTCCACCAAAGCAATGAATAAAGGCTTTACAATAGGGCACTGAGGCTAATAAACACATACAACTGTAAGTCTACAATTGGTTTAGCAAGGAAAATATATCCTCATGATTAGTATCGTAATAGACAGAAAAGAGTTCTGCTGCATCAATACTGCTTTACACAAGCACCCATGAACATATTTTCCTTTTCAGTTCTTACTTCTAAGCACTCCCACTCATCCTCAATGCTCTCTCCAAAACTTCTCAGGACAAACACGAGATGCTAATAATGATAAAACCATACACATGTAGAAATAAGATGTTTATAGAAAAGCAGTGAAGGAGGCAATGTAATTATTTGCCTTTAGTTATACCAAAAAGCGGTCATCCTTGGGTAAGAAGGTCTTGGTTGTTGCCAAAACTTTTGATAACAGAACTGGCAGCTTGTCATTGAAACCATATACTTTCAGCTCCAATTTGTCACCATACAATGAAACAGAAGTTTCCAATTTTGCCACACTAGCCTGCAATGTAGTATGGTATTATTATAAGACAATGACTTGGAAACAAAACTACAAAAGTAGAGATTATATATATGAACTTACTTAAATGACAATATACCTCTACTATTATTAGTATGCTCCAAAGCTCAAGTTTTAAAGCAGTTCAATTGAAGGCGAGGGGTGACTAACCTTATAGACAATCTCATTCAGCTCATCTTTTAGAAGAAGGACAAACAATTCAGTAAGCAGAGCACTTTTCAAGTTAATGTATGCCCCTCTAAGTGTAACACGGAAGTATGTATTAGCACGAGGAAACTTAAAACTCCTATCCAGCTTGTACCAAAATTTCATCAATGGTTCATCAAGAATGCATTTAGGAGAGGATGCATTCCCTCCATCACAAGAAGCTGTGTCAGCACGAATTGAAAAATCTGATGCAATGAAGTCATTCTTCACAGGCAAATGTAATGATACATCAACCTCTGGAGGATCCTTCCACAATTCTAACAGAGATGGGGGTATATCTTCTTCAATATACCGTGATCCAAACCATGGTTCGTGTTGAATATCTGAACAAAGAGGTGACATCAAAGTAAATAATTATTTGGAATTTCGATATATGTTATTGTTATGAAGTAACTTGCACTGTATTGTTATTTTTATGATATAACATTATGTCTAGGAAAGTAGGAATCCTTTGTAAACGACTCACATTAGTATAAGATGCCATGAAGGGAGCTAAACCAATGAAGAACAAAAGAATAACTCAATGAATTTGATTGTGGGAGGAATTGGTATAGCGCCATAGCGGGCAACATTTACAAGGCATCTCCCGTTATTAGAAATTGATCTACTATTGTGTATATTATTATTGTGTTTATCCATGATGTATGTGATATCACAAGTTCTGACAGACAGGTAATATTGAAAGACAAGCACACCACTTCTTTAAACTCAACACTCTTCCTCGAACTAAATTGTATATCAGTTTCAAGTTTGGACAGTCAACTTTAGAAATTACACTATGACACGGTTAATGATTGCCAAATGCTAGTCGCCAATCACTTTTGGGAGTTCATGATTTATTTTGCCAGTTGTTGCTCTTAAATTTGCCACTGGTCATCAGTTTAATTTTTTCATTCTCAGATCATGTCGTCTATATTGTTTGCCTTCCTCTAACTCTTTCTCTATCTAATTTCTTTAGCTCAGATATCATGTCAATTATGTTGTGGACTCCTTTTGGGGCCACACATACGACACACAAAGAATCCAACGTCCCATTGGAAGTGGCTGAACGTGAAAATAAGGATACTATTTCCTAATATTATTATATTTATTCTAGTTTAGTTAATGTTTTAAATTCTTGTTTCCTTTCCTATTTATAACACTAGCAGCCTCTATATTTAAAGTTCTTGCTATGGAATAAATCACTTTTTTAAAATTAAGTTGTGTGTCTTGACAAGGTGATAGGCATGCAGCTCAGAAACTTATTCAATATTTTAATAAAGTCTATCACAGGAGGAACGGAAGAGCAGTCAGTTAATTAGCTAACTAGTTAGTTACACTCCTTATATCCCTGCGTGGATAAAATACTATATATAGAAGAATAATAGCTGGCAGGAGGTAGGCTGTTATTTTCTGTTGAGATTAGACTTTGGAGATTGGGAATCTCAAATGGTCCCTGAGCATTGTATCCCCTGTGATCTGTTCAGTTGGTGAATAAAGCTTTTCGATCTGTTATTCTATTCCTCTTATTGATTTCATACTGTTTTGAGCTAAGGATTACCAGTGTTCTATCATTGGTATCAGAGCAGTCGTTTCTGGTGATCGGAATTGTTGTCGCAGCACCAGGAATTTATCGTTTCAGCTGTGAATGGTTAGAACGAGAGCTAAAATGGAGAATCGAGTGGATTCGCTGGAGCGAAACTATCTGGAGAGTGGAGATGAAGTCAACGATGGATAACATCGCGGCAACCATGGCCGCGATGAATGAACAGCTTCAATCCAGATGAAGGTCACGAACGCCACATCAACATCATATGTGATCATCGAACAGTCCGACAGCCTCAAGAGGTAATTCCGTTCACTCTCACATCCATAATCATCGACGAAGTAATGAGAACACTAGAATTCCAATCCACACGAGTAGGAAGGTAGATTTGACTTTGTTTAATGGAGAGGGAGCTTATAACTGGATTGTGACGAAGAGAGAGGTATTTCCGAGTGAATCAAATTGAGGAAGAAGAAAAAGTGGAAGCATCTGTAGTAGCTATGGAGGATAGAGCTCTGAATTGGTTTCAGTGGTGGGAAAACCAAACTGAGCAGAACTGGGAAGCATTGAAGGAGTCTATTATTCGTAGATTTCAACCTGACTTAATCCAGAATCCTTATGGAGCTATGCTGAGTCTTAAACTAGTTGGAACTATGAAGGAGTACAGAGATGAATTTGAAATGGTCATTGCACCCCCTGTGATCTGTTTAGTTGGTGAATAAAGCTTTTCGATCTGTTCTTCTATTGCTCTTATTGATTTCATACTGTTTTGAGCTAAGGATTACCAGTGTTCTATCACAAGGTTGGACCGTCGGACACCGGTTAATATGAGAGCAAGAATAACTTTGTTTAATTCTAATGGTTCTCTTTCTCTCTCCCGAATTCCTGATTACTCTCAAACATCTAGGGCTAGTTCTCACATTTTTACCAATTCGGCATCAGATTTGGGCACAATGGGGAACACTGGGTCATTGGCTACAACATAGGGGCTGAACCACTCAAGGCCTTGCTACAAGGAGACGATCAACGCAACCAGTTGACGTAGATACATAGCTCACGCCTCACATAAATCAAGACCACCGTAACCCACTTGGCAGGAACCCCATCAGCTTTCAGCCTCTCAAACACCATCATCCAGTCTACATTCCAGACGGCGGCGACACAGAAATCACTGCCAATGCTGCTCAGATGATGGGAAGGTTTCACGGTACAAGAAGTTGGAGTTTCCCTCGTAGGACAGAACCAGCATCAAGTAGGGTTGGCTACTTTTCACATGACTGATAACACCCAACTCTGGATAGAGCAGTTAGATGACTTAGATCCGGAAGGAGTAGGACTTACGTGGACAGAGCATTATATTTCATTGCTCAAGTGATTTGAGCCCCAAGAAGCAACAACCTAGAGGCTAGAGGGTTATATGGTGAATTTAAAGAAAATGTCTAACTTAGAATCTTATATAAGAAAGTTTCAGTGATTGTTAGCCCATAGAGCTGGAGAATCTATCCCCATGCTAATGAACATCTTTATGGCTGGACTTCGAGAGACAGTATGCTTGGAGGTGGAAAACCAAGAACATTCGATCTCAACAGGGCCATGATACTCTCTTGAAGCAGCGAGCGCAAATTCCTCACAGCTGCAACCTCAATAAATCATAGTGCATATGGAACATCTAGGTCAGAAACTCAAATTCATCCTCGCCCAAATCACTCGGTTCTCACAGAGTCGACACCAGTAAAAAAAATAACAACCATGCATTTAAAAAACTAACCCGAACTGAAGCTGCTGCAAGACAAGAAATTGTGGACGACAAACTCCGAGATGCCCCTGACACCGAGGCTGAGCCTAAATTGTCCCTCAATGCAATGACTAGGTTCAGATCATAGTCACATGGATCACGGTACACATCGGTACGCGGTACGAAAACGGGAACGCGGTTCGCTAATATAAAAAATCCGATACGCTATTTCGGTACGCGGTACGGTGTACCATAAACATATACTACCTACAATTTACTGTGTATTAAGTACAAACTATAAATGTAATAAATATAATATAATACTAGTACTAAACAATTAACTTGACTAAAACATTAAACAAAAGGCTGAAGTACTTAAACAAATAAAGTAACTATAATTAACAAAAGTAATTAAAATAGTAAGAACGAAGTCTAAGGTTCTGAACTGTGGAATTGAGTACGAAAGTCTTGAACAATTAAACCGTCTCTTTGGAGTCTGGAAGGAAGTACGAAAGTCAAGGGTCGTTTAGATTTCAGAGGTACGAAATTACGAATATAGGATAGAGTCGTTTAGACTTTAGAAGTCGCGTTGCTTGGAGAGTAGAAGTCGCGTTGCTTGGACTGCTAGATCGTCGTCCGCTAAGGGAAACTTGCGAACGACAAACGGGATGCGGCGAACTACCTGCAAGTGAAGCGCGAACTGCGACCGAAATCCGCCGTACCTGAGTCGCGACCGGCGCGCAACTGTACCGCGATCCGGTACGCGCGATCCGGAACGCAAAACGCGGGTACCTCAGCGATTTTTGTATCTATGGTTCAGATCACAATCCACCACACAACTAGACGCAATCTTGGCCAAACAATAAATGACAGTTTTGGTTGACTCAGGAAGTACTCAAAAACTTATCAAGAAACGTTGGATTCCCACGAGTATGCTGCATGCATACATCATACATGTTTTGTGGCCAACAAAGACCTAGCACCAATCACTGGTACATGTTTGCGCCTTCTGTTCACAGTTAACAACAATCACTTGCATGCAGATTTTATGTATTACCGTTGCCCAGGTTTTAAATGATCTTGGGTGTCCAATGGATTTGTGGGCTTGGCTCCATCCAACGTGACTTTTCAAAACTATCCATGCAGTTTACCTGAAATAGCAATTAGTAGAATGGCAAGGTCATGGCACTGATGTTTCGGGCATCTCTCACATGGTGGTCTGCCAGGACGTCACTGAGCCCTCTCTCAATGAGCACCCAGTACACTATGGTGAACTCTAACACACTCCATCCGGCCTTCCGCAGCGTGCATGTGATGACCATATTACTCTTTTCTACATGGAGCAACCACCACAATTTGTTGCTCAGGGGGGGGTCTGGTCTTGTGAGCAAGTTATTGTTGGAGTGTAGGCTTTGGCCAAATAAACATAATAAACAAGGAGCTGCAGCCGACCCTAGCTGGGCCTTTTCTTTAGTGACAGTCGAGCCCAGAGTTGAATTAAGAGTTTACCCTAGGTGTTTGTCTATATATATTGACTCACATACTTGTAAATAATGGATCGTATCATTCATCACCTAATAAGAAAGAAAACCATAGTTGCCCAGTGGATTAGGTCAGTAACATCTACTGGATAAACCATGTTAAATTATTGTGCCGTTTTCGTATTTTCTTCCAGTTTTTTCGGATTTGTGTGTGTGTGCTAGATATCCTAACTCTGACAGTTACGTCATTCCTTAAATGGGATGTAGGCTTGGAGCAATCTCCGCGTGCATGGTTTGGGAGATTCAGTGATGTTATTCATGGATTTGGCATGATCTGAAGTAATGTTGATCATTCAATTTTCTATAGACATTCCACATGAAACATGTGCATTTATTTGGTTGTATTTGTATGTGTGGATGACATTGTCATTATGAATAGATGGTGAACAGGTAATCACTCAACTCAAGAAATATCTCTTTAGTAATTTCAAACAAAAGATTTGGGGAAGCTAAAATATTTCAAACAAAAGATTTGTGCTTAGTCAGTTTCTGGATAAGCCATGTGATGGCCATGGGGATGCAACTACCCGAGTCTTGAGATAAATAAAGAAAACACCAAGTCAAGTGGGGTATTGTGATGCAGATTGGGCTAGATGTCTGGCGGATACACGTTCTACTTCTAGATATTGTTCCTTGATTAGTGAAAACTTGAATTCGTGGAAGAGTAAGAAACAGGATATTGTTGCGATATCAAGTGCTGAAGTAGAGTACCGTGCAATGGCCTTTGCTGCATGTGAGATTTTGCGGTTGAAGCACCTCCTTCAAGAATTGAGATACAGAAAGTCAGAAACATGAAACCAATGCAACTTATGTGTGATAATCAAGCTGCAATGCACATTGCATCTAACCAGTATTTCACTTCATTCGAGAAAAGACATTAAATGGATAAATTATCACAAGTTATGTCAGCGCGTTAGATCAGCTTGCAAATGTTTTAATAAAATCTCTTTGAGGTCCTAGAATAGATAACATTTGTAACAAGCTTGATGCATATAATTTTTATGCTCCAGCTTGAGGGGAGTGTTGAAACCCTAACCCTGGTTGTATTGGGCTTAGCCCACTTCGTGTAGTTAGCGATTAGTCCTAGTTCTAGCTATAAATATGGCTATTGTTGTAATCTTGTTATATTTCACAGATATAACACATATCTATGAACTCCATAGGTAACGCATATCATAAGAACATAGTTTGTGACTAATAAAAAGGGAGACAGGGTCATTGGGACTAAACTAAAACCAAACTTTTAAAAACTCTCACTTGTGTTTCATTTTTCAATTAAGAAGATAGCACAAAGGGTCATTGGCACTAAACTAGAAGCAAGTTTGAACTTTTTTCACTTTTGTTTCATTTTTAATTAAGATGAAAACCTATGCTGAAGTCTCTTAATTGAATTGACTCTGAAAAGCACACAAGGATAAATATAAAAACGAAACCTCACATTGATCAATCATCACAAAGACTTACCACCAGAATTGTTTAATGACTTTGTTACTATGTCAACTCTCATATTGTCCGCCCTGAAGAAACCTAGAACGTACTTTATCAGCAACTCATCCCAAACCTCGTATGCATAGTCACCATAAATAACATGCTCAGGAGGATAAACGAGCAAATTTTCTGCAAACAAAATATCATAATGATTGAGTATAATAAAAATCATACATGGCCAAGGAATTGAGGATATTCAAGAACATCTTTTTGGCTAACCGCAACCCAGCCCGTCAATAAACCTAATCTAACACCAGTTTATACGTATTCATCCGGTCAATCCAGTTTTTCCTTGCAACCCAACACCGTCAATATATTCACTCAACACATTATTTTTTAGTTAAATCCTTACTTTTATTATTATACATAATTTTTTTTCACAAATTCTATTTTTGCAAATAATTATGATTTAAAATATCAAACATTTCGATGTAAAAATAAATAAATTTGGAGTGAATTTTTTTAACTAATTTTTTAATGTTAAAATATCAAACTAATTTTTTTAACTTTATATATCCATGACTGGTGTCATATTAAAGATCAGAAAAAGTTATGAATTTTGATATATTTTTTGTAAAATTTAGGGTATAAATTAAAGAAATAAAACAGTTTAAAGAAAATTAAAGGAAGCCGTGTACGTCCACCGAGCAACGTCATCCATTCCTTCCCTCGAGTCGCGTCGCAGTTGCTGAGGGACCACGCAACATGTCACCTCCAGCTTAGAGTCAATTGGCCGCTCAGATTTCCCTCCCATCGGTTCTCCATATTACGTGTGAGACCTTTGTATACATTTTTTACTCCGCGTTGCAGCTGCTTTGGGAGTGAAAAGCTCATATTTGGGGTTTTCACCCCTTCTATTGCAATCAGCCTAAAGGGAATTTTATGAATTATGACTCCGTGGGGACAAACCATTTTCCTTAAAAGTTGTATAGAATCAGCAGTATAGATGTATAAGAGTTGGAACAATAAAGATTGGAAGAGGAGAACTACATAAAATTTATGTGCAATATCGGCAATGAACTCCATAGGAATAATACATGTTAAGTAAATTAACATAAATCAAAACTTGGATCGTGACATAGATAATTAGAAGAAAGTCAAAAGTAGATAACCTGCAAGTTCTGCAGCATATTCATCTTGAGGTTCCTCCTCTATAAATCTGAACTCCATATACCCAATACTTTGGAGTTCATTAAATATCCATTGCTGTGGGGAAACTTGCCGCAGTAACTTGAGGTATTGATAAACAAAACCAATGACGTCAAATATCTGCAACCCCAAAGACAGCATTATTGCACAAGGAAAAGTATTAGAAAATGAATAAAAAATGATATGCATACGAATAAAAGAAGTTGGATATTATAAGTGAAACCAATTGATGTTAATGTTAATAAATAGCCCGAAGAAACCATGAAAGTAAGAAACTAAATAAATGTGTGGTAGCACACCCTAAGTCAATATGTTCAGCATGCAACTTATAACATTGGTAAGTAGAGGGATGAAAAACCAAACAACTAATAGAGAAGAAAGCAACCTTTTCCAAACCAGAGTCTGTTAGGTGTATTGACATGCCAAAAATATAAGCGAGTGAGGACCGATGCATTCCGTCTTCCTCAACACCAGCAGATATGGAGGTAACCCATCCCCTGGTTTTTAAGAAGAAAAGCAAACTCCCTCTACCCTCTGAATAAAAAGTTATCCATGTTTAGGCATTAAATATCATAGCAAATGTACCCTACTTACACATGCATAGTGAAAGATGATAGTAACAATTCGCAATCCACAATATACAATACGAGCTTGAAACAATCCACAAACTTCATTAATGGCGGTATACAATACAATAGTCCCAAAGCTAGAGATAAGACTCTAACTTCCCAGTCCCAAGCCAAGCATCTAACAGACTGCCTAACTACTAACTGGTTTATTCTATTTATAGTCCCCTCTCCTTACTAAAAGTAGTTAATAGTTCATAACAACTACCCGCCTGCCAACAGTTAAACTACTTCTTCTTTCTAGAATAGACTAAACCATATCTATTCTTATTATTTGTAATAGCCGGAGTCCTAACAATACTCCCCCCCAAAGAAACAAGCTTGTCCTCAAGCTTGAAGTCTGGAAATTGTGTCTTCAACACTTGAGCATCTTCCCAAGACCTTTCAAATTCAGGCAGATCTTCCCAATGTATCAAAACTTCAACTCTGCCATTTGTTCCCTCTCTGGTATCCACCACCTTCTCTGGTTTCACCAACAGTTCCCAGTTTTCACTCAAACATTTAGGCAATGGTTGACAGCAAGTATTGGAAGCTAAAGCCTTTTTGAGTAAGGAAATATGGAATACTGGATGGATCATGCAATCATCTGGCAATTTCAGTTTAAAAGCTACAGCATTCACTTTCTCAATGATCTCAAAAGGTTCATAAAACCTTGGACTCAATTTCTGATTGATCCTCTTAGCCAAACTCTGCAACTTATAAGGCTGAATCTTAGCCAAACTCTGCTTGCTGCTTCATCTTATTCTGGGCAATAGCTAAATTTTCTTTGAGTTCAGCTAACATTCCATTCCTCTCAGCTGTCAGTCTTGCCACTTCATCATTGGCAGTCATAACCACATCCCCTTTTATAATTGGTTGAGGTTCTTGCCCATATAAGGCCTGGTAAGGGGTTTGTTTTAAGGAAATATGGTAATTAGTATTGTACCAATACTCTGCCCAAGGTAACCACTTGTTCCATTCCTTAGGTTTCTTCCCTGTGATACATCTCAAATAGGTTTCTAAACACCTATTCACAACCTCCGTTTGGCCATCTGATTGAGGGTGATATGCAGTACTGTATCTCAATTGTGTGCCAGCCAGTTTGAATAACTCAGACCAAAAAGAACTCAAGAAAATGCTGTCTCTATCACTCACTATGGATTTTGGAAATCCATGGAGTCTCACTATTTCTTTGACAAAGATTTCAGCAACTCCTTTAGCATTAAATGGATGAGACAAAGCTATAAAGTGTGCAAATTTAATTAGTCTGTCAACCACAACCAGGATAGTGTCTTTCCCTTGAGCTTTTGGTAAACCCCCAATAAAATCCATGCTTATATCTGTCCAAATGCAATCTGGAATAGGTAACAGTTGTAACAACCCCGCAGGTTTCAAAGCTTGATACTTGTTTCTTTGACAAACATCACAATTCTGCACATATTGCTGAATCTGCTTCCTCATACCAACCCAGTAGAACAGTGTTGAGATCCTCTTCATAGTTCTGAAATTGCCAGAATGTCCTCCTGTTGCCGAATCATGATATTCCATAAGAATCCTTGTCACTCTAGGAGAATTTTGGGGTATCATCAGCCTTCCCTTGTAGTATAACAACCCTTTCTTCAATCTGAAATCCACCATTTGATCCGGATGACTTAGAATTTTCTGAATAGTATCAGCACATTTTGGATCTTCCAGCAGTTCATCTTCTAATCCTTCCCATTCCTGACAATTTACAATTGATAAGGCTGACAAATTTGATTTCCTTGACAGAGCATCTGCAGCTTTATTCTCACATCCAGGTTTATATTTAATGATAAAATTGTATCCCATAAGCTTGGCAATCCACTTTTGTTGATCCTCTCCCATGATTCTTTGCTCAGTCAAGTATTTGAGACTTCTTTGATCAGTGTGAACCTCAAATTTCCTACCCAGTAAGTAGGGCCTCCATTTTTGGATTGCAAACACAATTGCCATCAACTCCTTTTCATAAACAGATTTACTCAAATGTTTAGGTGCTAGTTCCTTGCTCAAAAATGCAATGGGACCCCCATCTTGCATAAGTACTGCCCCTAACCCCCTTCCAGATGCATCAGTTTCTACTACAAAAACTTTATTGAAGTCAGGGATTCTCAACACTGGTAAAGAAGACATAGCATTCTTCAATTCCACAAAAGCTTTTGTAGCCATATCACTCCATTTAAACCCATCCTTCTTCAACAATTGTGTTAATGGAGCAGCAATGTGACTATAGCCCTTGACAAACCTCCTGTAGTATCCAGTGAGACCCAAAAAACCCCTCAACTCCTTTAAATCTTTTGGTACACCCCATTCTACCATGGCTTTAGTTTTACTAGGGTCAGCTGCCACCCCTTCTGCAGAAATAATATGACCCAAATAACTCAGTTGCTCCTGACCAAAGGAACATTTCTTTTGATTGGCTACTAAATCATTCTTCTTTAAAGCTTCCAGAACTAATTTGAGGTGTTCTTTATGATCCTCCTTGGTTTTGCTGTAAACCAGTATATCATCAAAGAATACCAATGCAAATTTCCTGAGGAAAGGTCTCAAAACCTCATTCATTAGAGCCTGAAAAGTGGAAGGTGCATTAGTCAACCCAAATGGCATGACTAAGTACTCATAATGACCTTCATGTGTTCTGAAAGCAGTCTTACAGGTGTCACTCTCCTTCATTCTGATTTGGTGGTAACCTGACTTCAGATCTAGTTTAGAAAAAACCACTGCTCCCCCCAATTCATCTAGCAACTCTTCTATAACTGGTATAGGAAACTTATCAGGTATAGTGATCTTATTCAAGGCTCTATAATCACCACAAAATCGCCAACCACCATCTTTTTTTCTAGCCAATAATATAGGACTGCTGTAGGGACTGTTGCTGTGCTTAATGATACCTGTTTTTAACATCTCACCAATCACTTTCTCTATCTCATTTTTCTGATCAAAAGTGTACCTGTAGGGCCTCAGATTTGGTATACTAGCTCCTTCTTGGATGTTTATGGCATGATCACAGTCTCTAGCAGGAGGAAACTTCAACTGATCAGTAAACACCTCTGGAAATTTAGCAATGATGTCCTCCCAAACCTTGGCTTCCTTAGTATTCTGTTCCAAACCATACAATTGCCCTCCATAATACAGACAGTATCCATCCCCTTCTTTCTGCAGAATCTGAAGCATAGTCTTCATTGGAACCTCCCAATTATTCAGTGCAGCTGCCCCTTGGATACAATTTATCCTATCTTGTTGTTTCCATCTTATCACTTGCTTCTGAAAGTTCACTTCCATGTCTCCCAACTCAGTCAACCATGCCATACCCAAAACAATATCTGTGCCACCCAATTCCAGTATATAGTATGATTGATGTATGTTATTCCCTTGCACTTCCAGCTTCATTTCATCACATCTGCCAATATTATGAATGAGATCCCCATTGCCAATCTGCACTTTCACTCCTTGTATAGGCATAAAAGGTACTTCCCATCTGTCAATGAAACCCTGCGCTATGAAGTTGTGTGTTGCCCCACTGTCAATCAGAATGTTCACAGGTTGTTTTCCCTCATCCCAAATCAACACACCTTGCACCTTGAATGTTTTCATGGATGGAATACCCTCCTTACTTAAAACAGAAAGTTGCGTTGTTTTAAGTTGTTTGTGAGTATCATCCTCTTCTCCCCATTCCATTAATTCTCCTTCAGATTCATCTTCTCCTTCAGAATGCTCCACTAGAATCATCTTATAGTTCTTCATTTTACAGATATGACCCTTACCCCAGTCCTCTCCACATTTGAAACACAAGCCTCTCCTACTTCTTTCCTGCAACTCACTCCTGGATAACCTGGGACCTGATTTACTCATATTAGGTGCCTTAATGTCATTATTGCTTCTGTAATCTGAGTTACTCTTTGGTAGGTTAGAGTTACTGTTCGTCATACTTTTCCATCTGCTTCCCTCACCCCAAATTGCTTGATAATTTGAGCCATTGTTCTTACTTAGCCCCTTTTTCTTCCCTTCCTCTCTGTTCTTCATCAACATTGCTTCATTATTTTTGTTCTCAATAAGAGAAGCTTGGCCCATGAGTTCAGCTAAGGTTCGTGTAGTATATAACTTCAGCTCAGCCCTGATATCTCTTCTCACTTCTCAGTCCCTTAAGAAAAACACCTTTCAGAACCTCCTCGGTTAAATGTCCCTGGGACGCTATGGCTGTTTCAAACTTGTCTCTATACTCCTTCATAGTTCCTCTCTGCTTTAAGCTGAACAACGGTCCTAATGGATCTTGTACCAGCTCTGGTTGAAAGCGTGTAGTCAAATCTTTCGTAAATGTCTCCCAATTCAAATGGCGAGTATGGCCTTCCCACCATTGGAACCAGCTAAGTGCCTGGTCCTCCATCGCCAGAACTGCCAAGTCAATTTTGTCACGCTCATCAGTCTGATTCAACCTGAAATATCGATCCATCCTCATCAACCAACCAAAGGCATCCTCTCCGTTGAAAATCGGTAAATCGATTTTCCTTCCAGCTTTATTAGGATTCCGATGTTGATTATGGCGCTCGCGATCCTGATGCGAACCAGAGTGACCGGAATTGGTTTCAGAACCTTCCGAACTATCATCACGCTTCGTCTGTTTCCTCTGTGATGATCGACGCGAAGAGTTCGATTGGTGTGAACGACTTCGTGATCTATCCGAGTTTCTGTTCTGCATTTCCGCTAGATTAGCTTGCATCGTGGCCAACGCGGTAGTGAAATTTGACTGCATCTCTCTCAAATTTCTCTCCATGCTAGCTTGCATCTCCCGCTGGCTCCTTTCAATTTCCGTCAATCTGCTTTCCATCTTTGCGCGCGTCACGGTCATCCAGCGATCAAACACGCTCTGATACCAATGATAGTAACAATTCGCAATCCACAATATACAATACGAGCTTGAAACAATCCACAAACTTCATTAATGGCGGTATACAATACAATAGTCACAAAGCTAGAGATAAGACTCTAACTTCCCAGTCCCAAGCCAAGCATCTAACAGACTGCCTAACTACTAACTGGTTTATTCTATTTATAGTCCCCTCTCCTTACTAAAAGTAGTTAATAGTTCATAACAACTACCCGCCTGCCAACAGTTAAACTACTTCTTCTTTCTAGAATAGACTAAACCATATCTATTCTTATTATTTGTAATAGCCGGAGTCCTAACAAAAGATAATCATTACTATAAACTTAATGGATGCGGAAATATTTACATTCCAGGCATGGAGAATAAAAAACACAGAAATATAATTGCCTAGAAATTTAATATCAAATACCATGCCCAAGGAGATGTGCCAGGTAGTCTTCAGCTTTCTTCATATATTCCTTCTGAAGAGTAGGCAATGTCCACAATAAATCTAGGATATGAACATCTTTAACTGCCTCTAACCAATACAGCTTGCCAGGTTTCCAGATAGGATATTCCAATCTCTCTCCAGATTCCACAACATTGCCTCCCTTGACAGTGCTGAATAACTCAAGAACCCAACTTTCAAGAACATCTAGAGTCTCTGCAGCAGCAACTACCATAGTGAGCTTAGCTGTAGGAATTATGTCACCAAACACTTCCAAACACGTCTAACCTCATGTTGGGATTTGATATGTGATTATGTATAATATTAATATTGAACATAACATGGGACTTTTGCATAATATAAGCAAGGTCACAGGTAGTTATGTTAGTGTGCATGCGGAGAGGGAGTACGCGAGCGAGTGCAAGCACAGAATGAAAACTGAGTGGATAAAATCATCGATATTCAAGTCAAGCATCGTCATAAACTAACTTTTAGTTTCAAACATTATTGTAAAATTCCCCAACATTTCCGAGTTGGGCATCTAAATTCTTTTCCTACATAAGTTCGCTTACCTCTGAATAATCCTCCATTAAATGCTAGGCCTTAGTCTGAACCTAGAAACTAGAAAGTGCCTAACACTATTCACAACATTAATTTCTATTTGATGGTCTTGAAAGTTGAAAATTCCACATACTATTTCTTTTACAGTTTTACACTTTTACCAGGAACGTACCTCCACCTATGATAACTAGTTTCATCTTTTTTCCATAATAATTGTCATTATATAACTTGAAAATCTGCTCCCTTAAATTGACTCCCTTCTCCATGGCATCTGCAAGGCTCTTCTTATTCCCTTCATTCAATTAAGAGAGAGAGATGTCAAGACTCAAGAAACCATTTGATTGGCTTAAGTGATCACTCAGAAAGCAAAGGAAAAAGAAGCACTGGGTTTTGTGAATTTACCCCAACAAAATCGGTTAAAAGGATGATCAGGAGCAGATGTATGGCACTGCAATTGCTGTAAACGGCATAGATCATTTTGCAGCACCTGATTAAATTCTGTTAATAAGGAATAACATCAGAAAAAAATCAGCAATCAGGTTAAATGAAAAAGCAGCAAGTGGAAAACAATGCAGTGGGGGATCAATGGGAAAACGGAGGGGAAAATGTATTTTATGAAAATTGAAACAACATTGACAAACCTGAATCAACAGCAAGTACCTCACGCTCCATGGCTTCGGTTTTTACCAATGGTGAGACAAAAAACTGAGAGAATCTGAGTATAAATTATATTGGTGTTAATTATATATCCTATCTAAGAAAAACCAGCGAGTGCAACATGATTTGGCAAATACATGTCTGATACCTCTTCAAGGCACCATAAAAGAACTCTCCTTTAACATCAAAATGGTAGCAAGTATGCTCTGTTTCTGTATATGCATTTGATGAACCCCCATGCTTGGACAAGTAGCTGTCATACTATTTAAGCAAAGAGTCATCTGGGGAGTCCAAATGGGTATTTCATAGTCACCTCTTAGCAACGAAGGTATCTTCAGAAAAATAGCATTAAAGTTTTACAGAGTGACTAAACATTAGTGAAGCACCATACAATATAATTCTGCAAATATGATCCCAGCGCAAGCATTTCTTTCAGAAACATAGAATATGTATGTGTGTGACTGTGTGTGATTATCAGTAATATTAAATAAATAAAGAGAAAGAACATGCTGAACACATAAACCTGTACAAGCACAAGGAACAAGAATATACCTCGTTCTCGTCAGGGAATTCGGTACTCCCCATAAATAGCATGTGTTCTAGGAGAAGGGGAACCAGAATAATAGTTAGAAGCTCGGAACACACTTTGAACTTCAGAAGTACGGAGTATATTAGAGTATTAAAATGCACCCTACTGAAAAACAAAGCTGATTGGTTATATCCCGTGAAGAAAACAATGAAATAAATTTAATTCGGGAGTAAATTTTGAAGGAACAAACCAAGAAAATGTGCAAGACCCTGTGCATCATAAGGATCCGAGAAGCTGCCCATTCCTACACACATAGCAGCTGCAGCCTGCCAATAAAATAGATACATCAAATAAATGACATACGGAGTACCTTTTACCACAAAGTCACCGCACATTATGCTCAACGTTAAGAATCACGGCATAACCTCAACCTATATGCTCAATCTAATTCCAAAGCTTACAATGATGCTTAAGAATTGAGTAGCAGGTGAGAATGACCTTCTTATGAGTATCTATCGTCTTCTTATCTCCATTCCCGTCTCCCCATTCAGATTCCTCCTCGTCTTCATCTTCATCCTCTCCGTCTTCTTCTTCTTCTTCCTCTCCCTCTTCTTCTTCATCCTCTCCCTCTTCTTCATCTTCATCGTCATCTTCATCCTGGGAGTCTTCAGTTCCTTGGCAGTTCACGGGAACTTCCGTAGGGCCATCCAATGAAATTTCTGGATCGTGAATTACTAGAGCACAGAGACCGTTAGAAAGCTCAATGTATCGGTAAGATCTCTGATCGTTCGGAGACGTTTTCACTAGGTCGTCCGAAGAAAAAATGACGCGCCCAACCGCCATGTCTAGCACACTGAATAGAGTAAAGCGCGATTGAACTTTATACGGGCACTCCTCCGGTCCCCGTCTTCAATGTCCAAGCCTTTCTCTTTCAGTCTTTTGTACCTCTACTTCAAACTAGTACTCTTTATTATGCACGAGAAAATATATTTGTCCAATTTACTACTTCTGTTTTCACTAGGTGGTCAGAAGAAAAGTTAGGGCCTCATTACTGACATATTTTCTGTTTTCTATTCTGTTTTCGTTCTCCAATTTTCTGTTTTTATTTTTCAGTTTTTCTATCTCCAGTTTTCTATTTCTATTTTCTAGTTTTCCATTTTCAAATCTGAAAACATGTTAATCAATTTTTTCACCCAATTCTGTGGTGCTTATTAGGACTCGCGTTAATAAGCGACACATAAAATAAGCAATGTTATAAGATCATTGTTTAAAATGGTACTTCAAAAGGTTTGAAACCCCGTTTAACATAAAAATGTCCAAAATAACCCTATACATATATAGACACACAAACATTTATGAACACAAATATATAATATAATATGTGGGGTCGATCACCCCGTACGTGTACCCATACTCCTAACCCCTACCATGCCCTTATACCTCGTACCCCCACCCTACACCCCTACACCCAATTCCACGCCCTACACTTACCATGATCTTACACTCTACCCATATCTCCCCTAAAACCCTTCATACCCACACATACCTACTTGTAGGAGTCGGGGGTAGAGAAGGAAGGTATGGGTGGGGGTGGGTGGGGGTGAGTGGGGGTGGGGGTGGGTAAGGGTTATGGTGGGGGTGGGGTGGTAAGGTCTAGGGGTACGAGGTTGGGTGGGGTAGTGGGCGGGTTAGGGTGGTGGTTAGGGGTAAGGGTGGGGGTAGGAAGTAGGGTTGGGGTAAGGTAGGGGTAGGGTAGGGAGTTGGGATAGAATGGTTGTAGGGTGGGGCCGAGGTAGGGGAAGGGGTAGGGTGGGGGTAGGATGGTGGTAGGGTGGGGCCGAGGTAGGGGCATGTGGGAAGGGGTAATATATGAGGTGGGGGTAGGGTAGGGTGGCTCGGGGTGGGGTTGAGGTGGTAGGGGGTGTAGGGTAGGGTGGATCGGGGTGGGGTAGGGTCATTGTATGGAAAAGGGGTACGCGGGGTGGGGGTTGGGTGGGTAGGGTAGGGTAGGGGTAAGGGGTAAGGTACGAGGATGGAGGTATTAGAATGGAATCGACATCGGAGCGGGACCGACCCCATCACTAGGTGTAAGTATGCAAATTCATTGTAGCGGCCTGTAGCATCTGCGTTTTCCAAATTTGGAAAACTAGTAAAAGTCATTTCTCCAAATCATTAAGGAAAAGAGAGTCATGTCTCATTTTTTTTGGAAAACTATTTGGTAAACGCGTTTTTCTGTTTTCCTTTCTCCAGTTTTCCAGCAATTTTCTTTAGTAAACACGTTTCCTCTTTTCTGTTTTCTAGTTTTCCAATTTTTTGGAAAACTGGAAAATATATTTGTTAGTAAACAGGCCCTAAATCTTCGAATAACACATATACATATAGTTTATAATTTTCCCACATAAGAATTTAATTAATACTACCTTCATCCTATTAATATCGGGACATAAGAGGGTGACACAGTTATTAAGAAAAGAAAGATTATGTGGTTGAAATTAAATGATATCGTAAAAAAAAGTAAGAATGATTTAGAATTAGACAAACTTTACCAATTTTTGTATGAGACAATTTTAGTGAAATTTTTCGGAAAAGGTAAATATAAATGATAGCAAAAAACTTCTTGCACTAACCCCTGTATCGCAGGGCAGCCGTAGATGGGCCAGCATATCCATGGCCCCATCATTGTCAGGGACAAAGCCCTGGTCGTCTCTGAAAGAGAACTGGAACCTATGCCTCTTCCGCCCGCCGGCAGAATCATGTGGTGGTCCACTCCCCTTGGCCACCGACTGTTTTTTCCGGCCACCAATTGGGGTCGTACTACTGCGCCCTGGGGCATCTGAGCCCAGGCGGCTCCGAAGCTGTTCAACAGTCTCCTTGTCATCTTCATCATCACCCTCATCCGCGGCATCCTCAATGACCACGTCCGGTGGAGACGCAGCGCTGACATTCGCCACAACTTGCGTGTGCACATCAGTGTTTCCTTCTTGCGCCTTAGCATAAGTTGGTTGGGCACCCCCCATGTTGGCGACATCAGCAGCATCTTCATTACCCCCATCCTCTAAGCCCTCGGAAGAGGAGGGGGAGCCACTTGGTGATCGGTCAGCATACTTAACACCAGTCGAGGGCTGGGTTTTCCTCCCACCCTCCCGAGCACGATCAAGGAGGTCAAACAGGCTGGCACTGCCTATAACGACAAAGCCAGGACGGTAAAATAACCACAAAGGCGTACAATACGAAAAGCCAACTCATAGTCAAAAGAGAATATACATGGTGAAGTAACAGCGGGTTGGGCAGGGGAGGCCAAATCAACCATGGCAGGATCTGCCGCCAAATCAACCTTGGCAGGATCTGCCACCAAATCAACCTTGGCGGGATCTGCCACCAAATCAACCTTGGCAGGATCTACCCTCCCCACCGGGTTAGCAATGTCGGGAGAGGAGGCCTCCTTCTTACGTTTCCTCCTCTCTAGAGCAAGCTCCTCATCTTCGGAAGATTCGGACTTTGGAGGAGACATATGGGCAAAAGCCCTCTCCTCGCCCGAGGACTGGGGACCCAACACATTTGAAGCAGTGGGACCATCACCGGAGCCCCGTCCCATTGCCAAGGATGCGGCGATAGCCGTAGCAATGTCAGCTTCTTCCTGGGCACCAACCTGATCCCCACCTTGAGGCTTGGCACCAACAGCAACCCCTTGGTCTTCATCAAGAACCTCGGTATAAAAAACGAAGCCCAAATCTTTCAGCTTCTCCTTGGGTAGGAAAGTTATGATGTCTAGGTCACCATACCCAACATAGGCGCCCATGTCATCAGCAAATTCACCCAGTGCACCGGCATCGTGCATGTTGAACGACAAGGATCATAGGGCAGTGAAAGGAGATCCCCCTTCCTGTCAGTGCAGACAAACAAAAACTTGTGTTTCCACCCATGGTGAGACGACGGGATGTGGTAGAACCCACTCCTGCCGGACCGTTGGGAGATAAGGGTGTATGTAGCCCTGATTCTCCAGAGAGTTGTTAAGCCCAATTTGAAACAAGTGCCTAAAAAGACCAACGGTAGCCTCCAAACCTAGATCCTTGCAACGGCGCCATTTGATAACCGCTTTCGCGGCGTTGTAGTAAAATGGAGTCTAACCTTTCGGTTTTTCCCCGAGTATCGTGTCTCTTGAGGAATGGCGGAGGAGTTTTCTTAATTTAGTCTTAGTCACGGGCTATCGCTAATTGTTGGAAGCTTTTTCAATACAAAAAGGGTGATTGTATTCTAGACTAGGCCAATTTGCACAATTACACTAGGAGCAAATTTCAACTAAAAGATTTAAGATTAAATATTCTAAAAAATTATTGAGGCAAGTAAGGGCAATGAATTGAGTAATTGGAAATAGATATATTCTTGGACCTAGTAATTAGGGGAATTTAAAACTAAAATTGGACTAATAATTTCTTTTCTCATAGACAAGAATAGAAATTACTTTCATTAATTTATCCTATTTCTAGGTTTCATTAATGTATTCAAAAATGGTTGGCTTGAATTAAATTCTAATCTCATAGACAAGGCAGAAATAATTCTCCAAAATTTTAATTAATAAAAATAGCCAAATTCATTAACTAATTAAATTCATTATTTAAGCAATTTGAATTTATTTCTCATAGACAAGATGTAAATCCATTTCATTAAAATTATCCTATTTCTAGGCCTTATTAATGTGCTTGAATAAAGTTGGCTCAAATTACTTTCTAATCTCATAGACAAGTTAGAAACAATTTTCCAAAATTTAATTAATGAAATTGGCTAACAATTATTAATTACTAATTCATCAAATTGAATAACTAGCTCAATTAATTAATTTTAACCCCTAATTTTCGGCTAACAAGTCAATCCATATTCCGTTACTCAATTCATGCCCAAAACAAATTTAGCTACTAAACATTATTTTTGCATTCAACAATATGGTATATAAATTAAACATTAACAAGGAATTAAACATGAATAATAACAAAAATTAAACAAAAATAAGATATTGTCAAAATAAACTTTCTGCAACTACAATATGACTTTCTGGAATTTTTTTACGAATTTGCAAACCTAAAATCCAATTTTAACAATTAATTGATAATTTTCTCACTTTTCACTATAAAATACAAAAGGCAATTAAAAATAGGCTAAATTCGTTCTAAATTTTCTATTGACTACTGGGGGTGATATTACAGTGAAATAAACTGGAATTAGGGCCGAGACTATTTTTTTTCTATTTTTGTGTAATTAATTTAATTTATGCAATAATAACAACTAATTACCGAAATTAATTAAAAAATACTTGTACTTCGTGAAAATTAACTTTCTTCAGATAAATAACAACCTTGCGGCTAGTGAACAACTATATAATTAATTGGAATGAATTCAACATCAACAACTATTTTATTTAATTTATGGAAGAAAATGCGAAATACTAGATAAATATTCTGGAAAAATTCGAAGAACAGATCGAGAAAACAAAGCACATATTCAGATTCTACTCTTTGAGAGGATTAAAATACATATAAAGAACTTACAATTTGAAGCTAAAATGAAGAAGATATGAAGATTTGAAGTTTCTCTCTCCCAAAAGGCCTTGGAGCTGCGGAAATGGCTGAAGAAGAAACCTTTTTGAACTGAATTAGGGTTGGAAGAGGTGTGTTTGAGTTCAGAAAAAATCGGGCTATTTATAGCCCAAAATATCTCATAGGCGGCCAAACAGGCGGCCGCCTGCCGTTCCTGTCTGGCCGCCTACCGTCACATCCCACCGGCCGGTGGTTTGTTCGTCGCTTTGTGCCGCAGGCGGTCATCGAAGGCGGCCGCCTTCCGTCCAGTGTCGGCCGCCTTCCGTTTTTCTCCGGTCCGGTCAAATTTGATCAAAATTGACTTTTTTTCAAAAATTGGTAGGCGGCCTGGTAGGCGGCCAATCTGGGCGCCTATTTGGGCGCCTGTGAGGTTTTTTGTCCGTCTTGTTCTGCATTTTGTGCTCTTCAACTTT